TTTGGTACCGGGGATCAAACTCAGATCCTTGTGCTTGCAAGGCAGGCAGTGGAACCACTGAGCTAAATCTCCAGCCCCTAAAAGCTCTTTTATTTTTTTTTTTTTTGGCGGTACTGGGATCAAACTCAGGACCTTGTGCTTGGGAGGCAAGCGCAGTGTCACTGAGCTAAATCCCCGGTGATGCTTTTAATTCTCTCAGGAAGATACCAGGAAGAGGAATAGCTGGGTCAAATGGAACCTCTAGTTTCAGTTTTTTGAGACATCTCCACGGATTTCCACAGTGGTTGCACCAGTCTACCCTCCTACCAGCAGTGGAGAAGCGTTCCTTTTTCCCCAGAGCACTGCCAGCATTTGTTATTTAGGTCATTTTCATTCTGTGACTCAAATGTATTTTTTTGTTTTGTTTTGGTACCGGAGATCGAACTCAGGACCTTGCATTTGCAAGGCAGGTGGCAGAACCTATGAGCTAAATCCCCAGCCATGCCAGCATTTGTTATTACAGCCATTCCTTTTTCTTTTTTCTTTTTGGTACCAGAGATCGAACTCAGGACCTTGTGCTGTGCCATTGAGCTAAATCCCTGGCCCAATAACAGCCATTCTTTCTGGAGTGAGATGGAATCTCAGCATTTTTTTTCCCATTAAGTTTATTGATACATTTTAGATATAAAATACAGTTCCATTCATCATTGGAATCTTGTACCTTTACATGATGTATCTTGGTTCTTATTTTTTTCCCCTTCCCCTGCCCTCCCTTCACCCCTTTCACCCTTCTCTATTTGCAAAGACTTTGTTTCCATTTTTTTTGCTTTTCTCATATCTTTTCTTTTCCCTTCTTTCCTTTCCCCTACCCCTCCCACTTCCCCTACTCCTTTAGACCTTTTCTTCCTATAACACAATATCAGTTATACATTTTTTAAATTACAATATCAAAATTTAGAGGACATTACCACAGATTTTACAGAATTTAAAAGGACATAGGAAGCATATTACAAAAATCCTTTTTGAAATAAATTTGACAACTTCTAAGAAGTATCTTGGAAGACAAATTAATGAAACTGACTCTGGAGGAAATATCAAATTTGAGTAGCACCTATTAAAGAAAGTATATTCCTAGCTT